AGAAGCACCTAATATTTAATGCAAGTGTTGACAGATATAAAGCAAGAGATGAACAGTAAGACAATAAGAGTAGGGGATTTTAACACCCTTTGACATCAATGAAAATGTTTTTTAAGTATTTTTATTGATTATGGTATTACTGCCTTTATCCCCCCTCCGCCCTGCCTCCCCAATCCTTCAGCATTCCCCCCTAGTTTATGTCCATGGGTTGTACCTATAAGTTCTTTGATTCCTCTGTTTCCTATACCATTTTTACCTCTCCCTATCTATTTTATGCCTATTAATTATGCTTCTTCTTCCCTGTACCTTTCCCCACTATTCCTCCCTTCCCCTTCTCCACTGAACTCCCTCCATGTGATGTCCATTTCTCTGATTCTGTTCCTGTTCTAGTTGTTTGCTTAGTTTTTGTTTTCATTGTTTGTCTTTTCTTTTAGGTTCATTTGTTGATAAGATTCAGTTGTGAGTTTGTTGCCATTTTATTGTTCATATTTTTTTACCTTCTTTTTCTAGGTAAGTCCCTTTAACATAATAATGGCTTGGTGATGATGAACTCCTTTAACTTAACCTTATCTGAGAAGCACTTTATCTGCCTTTCCATTCTAAATGAAAGCTTTGCTGGATAGATTAATCTTGGATGTACAACCCTGCCTTTCATGACTTCAAATACTTCTTTCCAGCCCCTTCTTGTCTGCAAGATTTCTTTTGGGAAATCAGCTGATAGTCTTATGGGAACTCCTTTGTAGGTAACCCTCTCCTTTCCTCTTGTAGCTTTCAGGATTTTCTCTTTGTCTTTAATCTTGGGTAACTTAATGATGATGTGCCTTGGTGTGTTCCTCTTTGGGTCCAACTTCTTTGAGACTCTCTGGGTTTCCTGGACTTCCTGGAAGTCTATTTCCTTTGCCAGATTGGGGAAGTTTTCTTTCATTATTTGTTCAAATAAGTTTTCAATTTCTTGCTATCATTCTTCCCTTCTGGCACCCCTATAATTCAGATATTGGAAAGTTTCAAGTTGTCCCAGAGGTTTGTAAGACTCTCTTCACTTTTTTGAATTTTTGTTTCTTCATTCTGTTCCAATTAGATGTTTATTTTTTCCTTTTGTTCCAAATTGTTGCTTTGAGCCCTCATTTCCTTCCCATCACTGTTTGTTCCCTGAATATTTTGCATTATTTCAGTTTGGGTATCTTTCTTATGTTTTTTTTTTTTCATTTTTAAACCAAGCTCAATCAGTTCCGTGAGCATTTTGATTACCAGGGCTTTAAATTCTCCATCAGATAGGTTGGCTATCTCATTGCTTAGTTCTCTTTCTGAAGTTTTGCTCTGTTCTTTCATTTGGGCCATATTTCTTTCTCTTGGCACACCTGATAAGTTGTAAGGGGGTGGGGCCTTAGGTATTCACCCAGCCAGAGCAACACTCTTTGTGGTGCTGCCTGTAGGGGAGGGGCCAAAGAGGGAGCAATGCAGCTCGCCTGCTTGTCTCTAGCCCACTTTCTAATGGACTCTGGTGTGAGACTGGGAGTTTCTCCCACTGTGGCAACCCCTGCCATAGTCCACAGTCAGTTCTGAGTCTCAGTTTGGCCTTTAGGCAGCCCCGTCCACCCAGGCCCCCTGCCTCATTGTGGTTTTTCTGAGCCAGCCCTGTCTGCACAGCCTCGTTGTGGATTCTTACTGGTCTGGTTGTTCTGGTTGATGTTTTTCTTTAATTCCTTGGTTGTCACAGTTCCATGCAGTTTTATTATCTGGCACTTCTGGTTGTTTGTTGATTTTAGATTGGTTGTTATCTTCCTTTTGGTTGTGCGAGGAAGTGAAGGGTTTCTACTTACACCTCTGTCTTTCAGGAGTCCTCAATGAAAATTTTATACAGGCAGGAAAATAAATAGACATAGTGATATTAAATTATACTTCAGACCACAAGGACTTAAGTAATTAATATTTTTAAAGGATTTATCCCATAAGCTTCAAAATATGCATTTTTTTCTAGTACACATGGGACATTTTCCAGGATAGACCATATATTATGCCACAAAATATCTCAATAAATTAAGAAGATTAAAATGATATCAAGCATCTTCTCTGATATCAATAGTATAAAACTAGAAATTAATTATAAGAAGAAAACTAAAAAACACACAACTATATGGAGGCTAAATAACATGCTACTAAACAATGAATAGGTGAACAATGAGATCAAGGAACAAATTAAAAGATTATTTGAGACAAATGAAAATGAAAACACAATGACCCAAGTTTATGGGACTCAGCCAAAGCAGTTTTATGAAGGAAGTTTATAGCAAAACAGGGCTACCTCAAGGAGCAAGAAAATTCTGAAATAATATCACTTTACATCTTCAGTGACTAGGAAAAAAGAATTAAAAAGGCCCAAATTCAGTAGAAGAAAGGGAATAATAAACATCAGAGAGGAAATAAATGAAATAAACTCTAAAAAATGTAGAAAACATCAGTGAAACCAAGAGTTGATTCTTTGGAAAGATAAAAAAAATTGGCAAAACTTCAGCCAGACTCATAAAAGAAGCAGTGAGGACCAAAATAAATAAAATCAAAAATCAAAGATGTGACAACTAACATCACAAAAATAAAAAGGATTAGAAGAATATACTACAAAACAACTGGACAACCTACAAGAAATGGATAAATTCCTAGAAACTTACAATCTTCCAAGCCTGAATTAGTAAAAAAGAAAAATTTTAAACAGACTAATAACTACTAATGAAATAGAATTAGTAATCAAAAAACTCCCAATAAGCAAAATTCCTGGACCAGATACTTCACGGGTGACTTTCACCACACATTAAAAGAACTAAAACCCATCCATCTCAAATTATTCAAATAAAATTGAAGAGGAGGGAAGGCTCCCAAACCTGTTTGATGAGGCTAGAATCATCATGATCAAGTGGAATTTATTCCTAGGGTATAAGGTGGATTCAATATCCACAAATCAGTTAACGTGATACTCCACAAAGACATAATGAAGGATAAAAATTATATAATGATATAAATAGATACACAGCCCTGACTGGTGTAACTCAGTGGATTGAGCACTGGCCTGGGAACAAAAGGGTAGCTGGTTTGATTCCCAGTCAGGGCATATGTCTGGGTTGCATGCCAGGTCCCCAGTAGGGGGCACTCAAGAGGCAACCACACATTGCTGTTTCTCTCCCTCTCTTTCTCCCTCCTTTCCCCCCTCTCTAAAAATAAATAAATAAAATATTGAAAAATAAGTAGGTGCAGAAAATGCTTTTGACAAAATCCAACATCCATTAATGATTAAAAATTTGCTGCATAATGGGGATACAGGGGACATACTTCAACATAATAAAGACTATATATAACAAACCTTAGCATACAAGTTTGAAAAGCTAAAAGCTTTTTCTTAAAGATTCAGGATAAGACAAGGATGTCCATTTCACAACTTTTATTCAGTATTGTACTGGAAGTCCTAGATACAACAATCAGACAAGGAAAAATAAAAAGCATCCAAATTGGAAAGAGGGAAGTAGAACTGTCATTATTTGTAGACAACATGATACTATATATGAGAATCCTAAAGAATCCATCAAACACTATTGAAACTAATAAATAAATTCAGTAATGTGGCAGAAAAGAAATTTAATATTCAGAAATTGGCTACATTTTATACACCAATAATGAACTACCAGAATGAGAAATTAAGAAAAGAATCCATTTTATCATTGCATCAAGAAGAATACATTACATAGGAATACATTTAATGAAATAAGACTAATGCTCAGAAATTTGTAAGACACTGAGGAAAGAAATTGAAGAAGACACAAAGAAATGAAAGCATATACCATGCTCATGGATAGGAAGAATTAACATTATCAAAATATTCTACTACCCAGAGCAGTCTAAAAATTTAATTTAATTCCTATCAAAATACCAATGACATTTTTCAGAACTAGATTATATAATATTTGAAATTTATAATGAAACCACAAAACGCTTCAAATAGCCCTAGCAAATTAAGAAAAAAGAATTAAGTTGGAGCTATCACCACCTTATCTGATACCAAACTATACTGCAAGGCTGTAGTAATCAAAAACTGTGTAATACTAGGATAAAAACAGATACATAGATCAATGGAAGAGGAAGACCCACAAATAACATCCACACATACATGATCACTTAATCTATAACAATAGGCAACTCTATACAATGAGGGAAAGATAGTCTCTTCAATTACTACTGTTAGGAAAAGCTAACAGACACATGCAAAAAAATGAACAACATGATAAAAAATAAACTCAAAATGTATAAACAAGTTAAAATGTAAAACTCAAAACCATAAAACTGCTATAGGAAAACATAGGCAGTAAACTCTTTAGCGCCGCTCTTAGCAATATTTTTTTGTATAAGTTTCCCTGAGTAAGGAAAACAAAAGAAAAAAAAATAAACAAGTGGGACTACATCAAACTAAAACTTTTCACAGAGAAGGAAACCATTAACAAAATGACATCCTACTGAATGGGAAAAAGTATTTGCTAATAACACATGAAAATATGCTCAATATCACTAATCATCAGGGAATGCAAATTAAAACCACAATGAGGTATCACTTTATACCTGTCAGAATGGCTACCATCAATAAATCAAGAAACAACAGGTATTTTCGAGGATGTGGAGAAAAGGGAACCCCTGTGCACCATTGCTGGGATTGCAAATTGGTGCAGCCACTGTGGAAAATAATATGGAGTTTGCTGAAAAAAATAAATAAATATAGAACTAACATATGACCCAGCAATTCTACTCTGAATACTTACCTGAAGAAATCTAATACACTAATTTGAAAAGATACATGCATCCCTATGTTCATTGGAGTATTATTTATAATAGCCAAAGATGGAAGCAACCTAAGTGTTTAAGGATAGATGACTGGAAAAAGAATATGCAGTACATGTATACAGTAGAATATTACTCTACAGTAGAATATGGAGAATATAGTCTTTATAAAGAAGAAATCTTACCATTTGCAACAACAGGGATAGATCTAGAAGCTGTGGTAAGTGAAATAAGCCTGTCAGAGAAAGAGAAATACCATGAATTCACTTATATTTGAAATATTAAAAATAAAATAAATGAACAGACAAAACAAAAACAAACTAATAGATAAAGAGAACAAATTCATGGTTGGCAAATGGAAGGGGGCTAAGGGAATGGGTAAAAAAGTAAAGAGATTAAGAACTATAGTTGTTAGTTATAATAACAGCCATAAGGATGTAAAGTGCAGCATAGGGAATGTAGCTGATAATACGGTAATAGCTACATATTGTGTTGGATGGATACTAGATTTATCGAAGTGATCATTTTTTTATGGTATATGAATGTCTAATCACTATGTTGTACACCTGAAACTAATACAGTATTGAACATCAACTGTAAATAAAAGTAATTTGAAAACTAAAACAAGAATAAAAGAAAATATTTTGTTTCTGCTAACAATTTGTTTTACATCTAGGAATCTCAAAGGCAATGTCTTCATTGCAGGCTTCCTTCCTCCAGATATCCAGTGCCTTGCAGCCACTTTGTGAGTAGATTGAATGAGCTTGGGAGAAAAATATGATTTTGATAACAAAGTGAAATAAATACATAATAAAGATGGGCTTTGCTGTTTCAGAAAGCAAACTTTTAAAAAGGTTATATTCCAAAAACAAAGGCTTTTTTGTTACTGGTTATTTCAGACTGTCCATGCCACAGTGCCAATTTGATTCTTGGGTGAACATGGGTTCTTCAGTGTGGATAGTGAGAGCTGAGGCAGTAAGGCTTAGCTCTGACTGCAAAGCACTTTGGTCTCCTTTCTGTTTATTAGTACTTGTGTGGTTATGAGCAATGTAACACAGAAGTCGACTGAGGTTAAAATCACTCAGGCCAAGGTGAGATAAAGAAAGAACAGAATTTCAAGAGTCTTGTTTGCTCTATTGTCTTTGACAACAGTCACATCTGGGCGTCTGAAGAAGACAGGCAGCTGTTGCTGCAGCTGAGAGCCACCTGCCCTCCTGCCTCTCCACAGGCTGCAGTCAGGGCAGCACGGGTCCCACCTGCACCACTTACTGACTGCATGACCCTGGAAGAATTTGCAATCTCTTCATCAGTTAAGTGAGGATAATCATACCTTTTACAAAATAATGTGGTCAGATTTTATAATCTGTAAAGTTCTCTTTAAACATTGGTTGGTGTTATTCATTCAAAATAACTAACTTTAGATACCCTACACCTGGAGTTAGTTAACAAACTTTTTGTGAAAACAGCCAAATAATAAATATTTTAAGCTTTGCTGGCCATATTTTCCCTGTTGTAATTACTCAATTTTGCCTTTGTACTAAGAAAGCAGCCATTGGAACATGTAAATGAAGAGATGTACTTTATTTCAATAAAACTTTATCTACAGAAACAAGTGGCAGACTAGATTTCATCTATGGACTGTATTTGCAAATCCCTGCTCTACATCTTTGCAGAAAATAAACACATGAAGCACACAGAGGGACATATCTAAAGTGCTTCCCAGGGTGAAGACTGACATTGTCAGTTTTTGTGAGCAGCTGTCCTAATATTTTCAGAAATCTCTGTAAGGTACTTTCCAAATTCAAAGTTTTAGTTTCATATCTTAGCATCACCATTTTCTTCATCATCATCATTTTGTACCCAACTGAGAATCATCACCAAGAAAGGCATAAAAAACACTAGTTTTCTATACCTACTAGTCAGCCATACTCTGTTCTTCAAAAGACCGCCCTGATTATTGTTAAACAAAATATCAATCATACTTGTGGTGAAATGTCGCTACATTTTTTACTAAATTGGCCCTTTGAGCAACATGAATTTTAATGGATCGGTTTATTAACCTAAAGGTTGAGCCAGAGTGAGAGTAACCGAATGACTTGTTCATAATTAGTATTATTTATAATTATTTTACTTGGAAAAATATCACCTTAAATGTCATGATGTTTTGTAATTGCTTCAGATGAGATTCAAAATAATTGACTTTGCAAATGTATTTTAAAGAATTCATTTAAAAATATCCCAAGCTGCTGAGAGTCATCTGGAGGAGGTGAGATATTGATATCCATTCCTAGGAACAGGGAGAGATTGATTCATTTTTTTTAACCCAATGAACAGTGAGCTGTGGTTGTTTCTAGACTCTAAAATAGCTGAGATGCTGATGTGGTGCTGTGCTTGTCCCTCTCCCCCATTAAATCTGCTAAGTGAGTATGTTCTTTGAGTAGTGGCTTGTTTTTGGTCAAATATATATTTGTATACATTTTGTATTAAAAGGGGGGTAAGTACATGCTTGATAGGAGAAGAGATATATATGTGGTTGGTGGTTTCAGAAAAATACAGTCTATGTACGTAAATTTGTGCATCTCATCACGTGATTTAGACAATGTTCAAGATACGTAGGTATAGGTTGTAAACTTAGCATCTCTAGAAATATTCAATTTTTCAGTTGATTGGTGAAGAAGAAAAGAAGTAGGAGGATACATTAACATCTGAGGAGATACAGCTTTTAAAATAATTAAGGTTCTGAAATATAGGTAAATAAGTCACTAATAAGAAGCATGCAGCAGAATAACAATGATGATGATATCTTATAATTATATAACACTGAAGAGTCACAAACTTTTGGTGTGTTCATGTGTGATTTCGTGTGCACCTCCCATCCACCTACATTTGGATGCAGGAAGGAAGGGTAGGACCAACTTCATTTGACAGATAAGGAAGAGAAGGCTCAGTGAAGCCAAGGGGTCTGCCCACATCTTCACTGCCCTCCGGCACATCACACTGCTTCTGGAACCCAAGGAAAAGGTGAACGTGTCCACAGGGTATCAAAGCCAACTTCAGCCTTCCTAGGTCGATCGAACTAGCCCAACCCAGAGAGTATGCACCCAATTTCCCATTTGAGACATTTCAATGAATTAGTATCAAGAATATCCCAGGCAAGGAATATGGTGGTGGGACAATCAGCCCTGTCTCTTATCTGCTTCTCCCAAGCCCTTTCACCTGCTCCTGTGCCTGAAGCACTTGGTGACATGTCTTCAGGCAGCAGTGCCCAGGACATAGATAGGTCACTCTCCCAAGCAGCCAAGCAGATGCCATCCATCACTGTCTGCATGTTTGAAAAACAGAAAAGTGTAGCCAATGCGGGGGGGGGGGGGGGGAGAACATTTGAAGGTAGCTAAAAGGGAAAGAACGGCAAGTTTCCCACTTATCTGCCAAGAAGTTTTCTCCAGAAAGTGCTGTGGAAATCGGGGTTTACGTGTTTAAATTCCTATACACACACTCACACATACACACTCACAGGGTCCTGCAAAGCTCAATGGAAAAACACCCAGGTGAGAGAAATAAGGGTATATTAACTGATTAATTGTTATCTATTGTTTCTTTAGCAATTATAATCTATGACGAGCATTTATTCATATTATAATACTCATTCAATCCTCAGAAAAATCCTTTAAGGTTTATTAGTAATATATTTTTCTCTCCCTTTTGTAGACCCCCCCAAAAAAGATAGGAGATCCAATGTTTTCTTGCTCAAACTAATTTCACAAAATGCAAGTTGACTTCTGACTCCTAGTCCATAACCAAAAGCAACGGTGAGAGATGAAAGACGGAAGGAAAGAAGGGGGACGTCTGAAACATGAGTTTAGAGCAGAGAGCCTGAAAACATCATCAGACCAAAATTCCTTCTGGTTTAGGTCAGAAGTGCCGAGTTGGTGTGGCTGCATGACACACAACCAGAAGGATAAGGCTGATTTTCAGGCACACCTGCTCATTTTGCAGCTGAGTATTCACTTTCAAACTCTGGCCTCTGATGTCCTGTGAAGTTGCTGGGGCAGCCGAGTTGGCACCAACTTCAAACTAGTTTAAGTCTCTGATTCACTTCACAAACATCCCTCTCCAGATCCAGGGTCAATCTTTGCATCACAACCTACAAGCTTTTTTTTTTTCTCCTTTGCGGCTTCTCCCTTTACTCTCCAATCTCCTAATTCCTCTGCACCGCCTTCCAGTCTTAGTCTCTCCTGACCACCCCCCCACCCCCCAAACTCGTGTCTGCTCCATGTGCAAGCCCCACCATCAGAGGCTAAGCGCCTCTCCACCAATCGCCCCCCCCCCCACCCTCTCCAGGCACTTACCTGGTGCTTGAGGCCTCAGGCACCACCCGGCTGCCCTCAGACTTCTTGGTTCTGTGTGTTCGATGCCGCCACCCGGCATCCAGGGCCTGGGAGCCATGAAAGTCCTCAAGCTCTTTGTCACTTTCCTCCTTAGTTTAAAACACTATTAATAACGACAAACAATAAAAAATGGCATTAGCTGCGGCTCTCGCCGCAGTCTCCTGAAGTATTATCTCAAACCCCACCATTGCAACAAAGAAATCTCACAGGAAAATCAGACGCCAGGAGAAAACTTCACTGCTGCACATTCCTCCGCCCTTCGGGAGCGCCCCCTTGTGGCAGATGGGGAGCATGGCAAGGCGGTCAGGGCCTCCACTGGGAGGATGGTGACCGACCGGTAAAGGGTGCAAAGGGCTTAGGGTGGGTCCCCGGGTGTGGAGTCCGACTCCAGCCATGAATAACAGCTCCTGTGTGCACTGCACTCAGGGAAAAGCTTTGGGGAGACCGCGTCCCTGAGCCCGGAGGTCTCCGAGGCCAGGTGAGTATGGCCTGAATCACAAATGTGCACAAGTCACACTCTGTGTGCGATGTGGTAATGGCAACCGTTTGCCTCTGCCGCGGGCCCGGGTCCGTCACGGCACAAATGTATCACAAAGTCGGACATTTCACACAGGGCAGTGCTGGGAGACGGGCGTAGTCTCCCCTGTCTGAGTAAAGCGTGAGTGTCCAGTCTCCTGGAGTCTCGCCAGGGCAAGCACACTGTTGGAACTCTGGAAACTTACTGCTCCCCACCTTGATGCAAACAGACTGTATGTCCAAATAGTATCTTTCTGCAGAGAAATATAATCTTATTCACTCTCACTGACCCTGACAGGCAGATAGGAAATCAAATACATTACTCTTTCAGCAAACAGAATCAGAGGCTCATGCAACCAAGTAAAGAATCCAGTGCACTAAGAAAGAAAAAAAACCCTGGAGATGAGGGTTCAGGTTTCCTGACTTCCTCCTGCCCATGTGTTCTGACCATGCTCTGTCTCTGGAGAGCAGGGGAAATGATGCTCGCTGACTTCCCCAGTGCAGGGCAATGAGCTGTCCCATTAAGGAGTGTTGATTGGCTCCCTGGCCATGAGGACAGCGTGCTGGGTGTGACACAGAGAGGCACAGACTGAGGCTGCAGGAGAGGATTTACTATTATGTCAAATGTCAGGGAAGCAACCACTGGTTGTATTGGAATGTTCTTTGTTCACCAGAACCAGTGGTGGGGCCTGAGTAAGAAAATTTGCAGGATGCCAGAAGCGCTCAGGCCAGAGTTCACCACATGTCTTGTGAAACATTGTCATCTCGCCATCATGCTAATTCTGAGATCTTGGCTGTTAAGTTAACTCCAATTTTATAGATAAAAATACTGAGTCCTGGGTGGTTAGCATGAAGTAAGAAGCAGAGACAGAAATCAAGCCTAAATCTAAGTAAGCCTAGGGCTCTTCTCAGCACATCACATTGCTTCCCTGACTCTTCTAGCCATCCTGTGGAGGGAATTCCAGCCAGAGGTCAGTAGAGAGCATATCATATTAATTTCAGCAGACCACATCTCAGGCCAGTTCCCACAGATCTCTGTTATATCCCACTACTTCCCTGATACTGGTGGCAGCTCTGTACTGAACCACACAGGAAGACTAAGCTTGGAGTAAAATCATAAAACTCCATTCATTAAAAACCACAGGTTCTTCATGGGCTCTTTCTCCATAAACATTATAGACACTATTGTCTATAGGCAAAGTGAGCAATGTGCTGCTAAGATGATGATGATGAACATGATGAAATGAAGACAAGTCAATACAAGATACTTATCATGAACTCAGTAAATATTTCTTAGGTCTACATTGGGCTCTGGACTGAATATGAAGAAAAGCAACCTTCCCTGAAGGCAATAAACTTTGTCATAAACTCACATCAAGTAAAGAACAGCAACAAGGATTTGGAAAATTCAAGGAAAGCTGCAAAAACAAAACAAAAATCATTTTCATGCACATGGATCTAAACTGAGGACCTTCAGAGATAAGACTGCATGAAGGAAGGAAATAAAAGTCCAGAAGTACTTCTCAAGGGGAAAGGGTCAGGGGGTCTGGGGCATGTAAAGGATACTGATTGGATCAGGGTTTGAAGAAGAGAAAATCAAGTGGGGTGGGAAAGACAGTCTTGTTCCCCTTTGGGCTGCTCAGAGCATCCCATTCTGCTCTGAAGCCCACACGAGGCAAAATAGAGCACACGAAAGTATAGCAACCAAAGTAAAGAAGAGAATGGAAATCATATCATGAGGAATTTGGAAAACTGGAAATGTTTAGGCAAATAAAGATAAACTCCATATAGAAACTAATTACTGTCTCCAAATATCCAAAGGATTCTCAGGTAGAAGAGGGATGAGATCTGTTCTGCCAAGCTTAGAATGGAGTAGAAAGGAGCAATGGAGATAAACTTCAAAGAGAATGCATTCTGACTCACTAGAAGAAAAATATTCTGCTTGTTCAACCCCAAATTGGAAAAATCACTTCCTGTCTGGAGAAGACTAGAAGGGCTCTGCATCTGCAGCCCCTTGGTGAAGGAAAATACCCAAGCACAAAGGCCTGCTGTGCTCAGATAACCCTTGGGGCAACTCCATCTGAGACCACTTGCATCTGTAAATAACCTTAGGTTCTAACAGAAAGAATGAACCAAAGAAACACCTGGAATCCTCACACAGAGCATTTAACTCCCATTGAGAGATGTCGTGGTTTAATATGTTCAGTGATTACCTAAATCCAAAATGCTTGTTGCTTCTTCCTCTCTTTCCCTCAAACAGAATTATTTACTCTACTGTCTAAGGTAATTCTCATATTTAAGTACTTCCTAATGGGGACAAATGCCCTTTAGTAAAGTGGAAAACACAAATAAAAAGGCAAAAGTCCTAACTCTGATTAGTTTAAAAGAATCTTAGGTTTTAAAAGAGCCATTTAGAAGCTATCTTATCAACAACCTCACTGATCATGTCTGAATTTCTGCCGTATCTTCCCTGATTGACTATTTTAACTGATTTCTGTTTGAGTGTTGCCTCCAAAGCTGATTTCATCATAGATCATTTTCATGGAGAAATAAGAAAAATATACTCATGGAAATGCATCAATAAGACATGGAAACAAAGAAAAACAAAAATGGTACCTTTAATATGCACTTTGTCAGAGTTTAAATACAGAACCTAAAATTAATCAGGATTGAAAGAGTCAGAATTATAGTAAATTTTTGAAAATAATCTCCTGCAGTTTGAGTGGCCACTACTTATGACACATAGTACTGGTAAAAGGTGTAAGTGAAATCATTGCCCATTATGCTATCTTTTGCACATATATGCAAGTATTACAGTGCAAGTTGGGAAGGTAAAAAAAGGGGCAGGATAAATAAAAAGTTTAAGACTACTAATAAAGAAGAAAGAAACACTATGGACCTTTGAGGTGTGCTGGTATGTGGTTTTATTTGGGATTACTTACAGAGTATAAATTGGGATATATGTGTAAAAATGAGTAGAAACCTGGCAGGTGGATGACATGAGACATGGAGAATTGACTTCTAGACAGACTTTCAGTAAAGATGAAGGAGTAGATAAATGCTGTGCTTGAATCCTCCCATAGCCACATCAAAATGTGCAGATCCCTCCTGAGGAGCAAAGGGTCCTGGTCTACATCAGAACTCCCATCCCAGGCTTCCAGTGCTAGGAAGAGAATTCCCCATAACTTCTGGCTATGAAAACCCATCAGGGAATTAGGCTGAGACAGAGGAGTCCTAGGAGTTCCTCAAACAGGGCTTGTACACAGACTTATTTGATGACAAACTCACCTGCTCTGAGTTCCAGTGCTGGGGCAGTAGCTTCAGGGCACAAGAGACATATAGGGAGGAACTGAATAGTCTAGCATTAGGATGAAGACTGGAGGGTCAGCTTTCTCCCAGGCAGAAGTTCTGGCAGAGGCCACTATTCATTTTCTGACCCCGGCTCACACTGTTCACCCCACCCACCCAATTTGCAGACCCACCTGCTCCACTTCCAGTGGCTTTTCCATACAACAGCCTATCTTGGCTCATAGTGTAGACTTTCCTAAATGTTTTCAAAAGTTTGAAAACCCAAAATAAAAAGCATCTGGCCTCTGTGTGATCCAGGTCACTTAGTTCATAGTTTGGTCTCCCCCATGTACCTCTAAGCCCAGTATAAGTACCAACCATCTGCAAATCACTTTATAGCTCACACACCAAGTGGCCTTGGCAGGGCACACAAGATCATTGATTTTGACCAATACCTCCTGGGAGGCCTCAGAGCCAGTGCACCCAGTGGCCAGTTTCAGACTATGATGGTGTGCCACCCAACCACATCCATACGTGACACACTCAAGAGAAAGACTTGGCATGCACAAGAGCCTGTTAAAGCAAGTTCTGCTTCATGAGGTGAGCCCCTGTGCAGCTGATCCCCCACTGTAGTCATGGCAAGTCCTCACAGCCATGCAGGCAGCAATCAAGGCTCAGCTACAACAGGAGGGTGCACACAGCTCACACTAGTAGGGAACACACTTAGAGGTCTCAGCTCAGGTGACTGGGCGGCTGTGCCCTATAGGACACTTACTACATAAGCCCACCATACTAAGAATGAAAAGCATAACAGATATGCCTAATACATAGAAACAGACACAAAGAGGTAGCTAAAAATGGGGAAATGAACAAAAAAAGTCCCCCCCAAAATAACAGGAGAAATCTTTAGAGAAAGAACTAAATGAAATGGAGGCAAGCAAACTAGCAAATACAGAGTTTAAAACAGTGGTTATAAGGATGCTCAAGGAACATAGTGAGAATAGAAACAATAAAAAATAACCAGTCAGAAATCAAGAATACAGCAATCAAAATGAAAAATACACTAGAAGGAATCAGCCATACATTAAATGAAGCAGAAGACCAGATCAGTGATTTGTAAGATAGAGGAGCAGAAAACACCAAGTTAATGAGGGGAAAAAAAGATAGTTTAAGGGACCTCTGAGACAACAATATCTGCATCATAGGGATACCAGAGAAGAAGACAGAAAGCAGGGGATTGACAATCTATTTGAAGAAATAATGATGGAAATCTTCCCTCACCTGGTAAAGGAAAAAGACACACAAACTCAGGAAGTGCAAAAACC